ACTGAACATAAGCATATCGATACAGAGTGTCTATCTTCTTCCCAGTTGCAACGATGAGTTGATTATGCTGTAAAGTTACAGGATGAGAACCATAGTGCCATGACCTTCTAGCACACATTCCATCTAATTGTTTACAGCATAACGAAGTCATCTCCAAAGCGAAGCGAGGTTATCAACTTCGAAATATGTGAAGCAGCAAATGAACAAAGATCTCTACTAATTTGTTACATATCAAATAAAAACAATGCATTTGACATGCATACCTCCGGCTGGGAAACATAAAAGCAAGGAGAAACCATTCAAAGAGAATACAGCTAAAAAAAGCCAAACCAAACTAGGAGAAAACATTGGTTGTTAGATGAAATAAGTTACCTCAATTTGTTTAAAGTTTGAACACAAGGGAACAATTTGTGGTCGTGGATCAAGAAGCTTTCAAGAGCAATGTGCACTTAGTCCTCATCTTCTCCCTCAGATTCGCCGTCTTCTCCCTCCACTTCAGATTCAGATTCAAATTCATGATCATCTTCCTCAAATCGATATTCAGATTCGGCATCTTCTCCCTCAAGACTGTATTCATATTCGTCAGTCTTCTCCCTCTAATTCGTCTCGTCTCTGCTAAATCGAACTAACTTCTCCGAGCAAAGCGAAGAAATTGCCTCCACATTTAATTTCCCACAACCCTTTATTGAAACAAATTGCAATCCCTCCAAGCTTGACACATCAGGTAATTTCTTTAAAGATCCACATTTACGAATCTCCAATGATTCCAAAGATGGTGGTGGATTGTCTTGAATCTCAACTAGATTACCACAATTGTATACTTCACGAATACTTAGTTTGCTGAGATTACTTAGATCGGGTACTATCTCCACCTGTCGAAGTTTAGAAAGCCACAATGCTTGTAGGCTCTCCAAACCATCGAGTCCTCGAATCTCTGAGATTGCACAGTTAGATATCCCAAATTCTGATAGTTCCTGTAGATTCGATAGATTCTCCAAGGAACAAATTGACTTGCAATAGCAAAAGCGTAAGGATAATAAACTGGAGGGAACGCTCGGGAGGCAACGCAGATTGCGGCAGACGAGTGAAAGTCGTCGGAGTCGGGGAAGGAGACTGATATCTGTGGGTAAGGGGGTCACGTAATCATAGAGCAAAAACAAGGATGATAAACTGGAGGGAAGGCTCGGCAGGCAACACAGATTAGGGCAGCGGATGTGAAGTCCTCGGAGTCGAGGAAGGAGACTACTAATATCCATTGGTAAGGTGGTCACGTGAGGAGAGCACAGGCCAGTAACTCCAGTTTGCTTAAATTTCCAATCCATCGTGGCATTGGATATTCTTTGACAAGCCCATTAGATTCCCCAGCGTCATCACGTGGGCCAAAGCTCAGTACCAATTCCTTCAAATTAGTCAGGTTTGAGAGATCCGGAATCGTATCCATGTACAATCTTTTCAAATCTAGAGTAATAAGACTTTCGGGAAGCTTGGGTACTACGTATATTTGAACATACCTCAATCTCAAGATCCTCAGGGATCGATTTTTGTAGATGCAATTGCCAATTTCCAAATCGAAATCATACATCATATAGGCACTTATTTCTTTGAGATTCTTAATCGTCCAGAGAGTATCGGGTATTTTTCTTATGTCACTAACATTTATCCACACTACCTTCAAATTTTTCAACTTTCTGAAGAAATTAGGTAGTTCTTGGATCTTCGTTCGAGATATACCCAACTCAACAAGCGATTTCAAATTTCCGATGGAATTAGGTAACTTTGTGATCTTCATCTCAATTATATGCAACTTAACCAGAGATTCCAAATTTCCGATGGAATCAGGTAGTTCTTTGATCCCATATCTATGTATATCCAACTCAATCAGCAATTTCAAATTTCCGATTGTATCCGGAAGCCTCTCCAACGACACGCAATGTCTCAGAGATAGATATTTAAGGCTTGCAAGATCTCTACCCAGCTCGTCTGGCAGCCTTCGAAGATTGTAACAATCGCTTAAATCTAAGGAAGCTAAGCCTTTCAACTGACAAATGGATCTATCAATTTCGATTAATGATTGACAGGACTTTAGGATCAAACGTTCTAAACTTGAATGAGTAGAAGAGAAGTTGGGGTTTCTTTTCAAGTGTCGGCACCATAACAGATTCATAACTTTCAAATTCTTCATCACCTGTGAAAAGAAAAACCATGCAAAGATTACTTTTGAATCTGATAAGACGGAATAATAAGTGTTGTCTAGCATATAAGATACCTTCATGTGGCTCCACCCCTTCCAATCATGCGTAATTTCACTCCAAGATAGATCAAGAAAAACCACGTCCTCCATGGAGAAATTTGTAATGTTAAATGTTGGGGGAATACAATGCCATGAAAGCCAACGTAACTGTGGAAGGAGATATGAATTCTCATTAGCTGGAGGAAAATTTGATGGCGATTCATGCCAAAGAAGCCTCTCTTCTACACGGAAATTTTCCATCGAACCGTCCACTTCAAGGAACCTTAGATATGATAGGCTCTCAAAGCCCTCATAGGTAAAACAATACTGCTGTTGATGGTCCAACTTGAGACAGAGAGCTTCAACTTCTTTATTTCCCTACCCAAAAGGAAAAATTTAAAATACAAAATAGTTGAAGGGAAACACATTTATTCAAGTCCACTATATTTAGCGGTTGAGTTCAGTACTATCATTCCTGTAATCTTAAAAAGAGCAAAAATATAGGTTGAGGAAGTTGTCATGGTTCTAGACAACACAAAAAGTAACTGGCCTTTTTTTTTTTTTTTTATAAAGAAAATGTTCATAAGTAACTTGAAGATATATTGCACAGGGGGTTTTACCTTAGGTCTCCACAGCAAATCCAATGCTTCTTTGGGATCCCACACCCTACTTTGCTTTCCTACTTTCGTCTTACTTTCTTGGCGAACTATTTGTCTTCCGAGGTCCTTGAGCTGGTCATGCATCCAAACTTTATTATGCTCTTTAATCTTTATCAAAGACAAGTTCTGCAAAACTTTCATGGCTACTATCGGGAAGAGTTTAGATGCATTCCAGAAATGAACCAAAATGTCTTTGTCATGTTCGTTGAAAAGACAAGCTATATCAAGGAATATACACTTTTCTTCATCACCTAATGCATGGTAACTTATTTTCAGCTTACTCTGAACATCCTCATGAGGAATACTTGCCAACTTCTCCAATGTGGCATCCCATATTGTCTTATTTTTGCCAAATAAATGCGAACCTATGACCTCAAGAGCCAATGGAAGACCTCTAGCAAGTTTCATCACCTTCTTGGATTGGTCGATATACTCATCTAGAGGATCATTTCTTCTGAAGGCATGTTTGCTAAACAGTTGAAGAGATCGACATTCATCCATGACGTTAACCTCATAACGACCATCCACCTGAGGAAACTTGAGAATCTCTTTGTTTCTAGTAGTAATAATAAGTTTGCTTCCTTTTTCAAACCAATCATGGTTTCCCACAAGTGCATCCATATGTTTCTGGTGATCCACATCATCGAGAAGAATAAGGACTTTTTTATTAGACAAACTGTTTCTAATTGTCTGAGTCCCTTCAGCCAAGTTTCTTATGTTTGCCCCTTCCATTTTGAGGATGTCAGAGATGAGCTGATTCTGCAAGCATTCAATGCCCTTGGTTTCTGACGTTGCACGGATGTTGGAAAGAAAGCAATGATTGTTGAAACCTTTGGAAAGATGATTGTAGATGATTTTGGCAATAGTCGTCTTTCCGATGCCACCCATCCCGTGGATTCCTATAATCCGTGTTTCACTTGTCCCAGCACTTATCATTTCCATGATTGCATCCACATGGTTATCGACACTGACCAAGTAATTTGATACCGCTAGAGAAGCCTTTTTCAACTCATTGAAAACCATCTACATGAATGTTTTCACGAACTCACCTTCTCGCCTAGTGTTTGTTGGAGATAAAAAGGCAATGAGTTAAAAAACCGAGTTGAAACAAACTAAGTTCAGACAAGACCAAATTGAAAACTACAGACCTATTCTAAATCTATTCTTCAACGATTTATTCCATTTAGATGAATTAGCGGCGGCACTTAGGGTTCATGAATGACCTGAACTGACAAAATGTTGCTGGGAATGAAATGGGACAAAAATGGGATTGTGCCATTAGTTAGTGTGATTTGACGGTATAACTTCAATTGCACACAATTTAATTTCAACAAAACGGAACAAGGACACTACAAGTGCCAAAACTTGTGTACGGCGCTCATTTTAATGCCAAAAGTTTCCGTCGGATCACTTAAGTGCCAAACTTTTTGAAAAACGATCACTTAAGTGTCAATTTCGGTCAATTTGGCCGGAAATTAGACGTGGCATTTTTTTATTAATTTCTGAAGCCAATGTGGCTCGCTGGAAGTTTAGTCAACATGTACAGTCAGCATTTTTTTTTAAATAATTTTTTTTTATTTTTTCCTTTCTTTTCCTTTTTTCCTTTTTTGATCTACTGGTCGATTGCCGGTGGTCGGACCGGCCACTGGCGAAGCCCGAGAAGGGCTGGGCGAGGGCCTCGCCTGTTTCCGGCGAGGGTCACCTCGCCCAGATCTGGCGAGGCCGGCTAGGGCTGGGCGAGGGCCTCGCCGGCGACAGGCAAGGCCCTCACGCAGCCCTTCCCAGGCTTTGCCGGTGGCCGGCTCGGCCACCGACAACCGGCCAGTAGATCAGAAAAGGAAAAAAGAAAGAAATGGAAAAAAGAAAAAAAATAAAATTATTTAAAATAAAAAATATTGACTGTACATGCTGACTAAACCTCCGATGAGTCACATCGGCTTCAGAAATTAATAAAAAAATGCCACGTCGGATTTCCGGCAAAACTGACTGGAGTTGGCACTTAAGTGATCGTTTTTCAAAAAGTTTGGCACTTAAGTAATCCGAAGGAAATTTTTAGCGCTAAAATGAGCGCCGTATATAAGTTTTGGCACTTGTAGTATCCTTGCCCCCCATTATTCTTGCACTCGACCATTTGGACTACCTCCTTGAGACACCATACACTAGAGGCATAATCTTTCGAAAAGATAGGTATTAAGATCTTCGACTGCTTAATTACTTGGAGAAGTTCTGGGGCAAACTCTTCCCCTTTGTGAAGAATTTCGTCGTCCTTAAATGTGCGGATTCCTGCATCTTCAAGTCTAGTGTAAAGGTGGTCGGTAAAAGTTGCTAGAGTATCTGATCCTCTGAAGCTCAAGAATACTTCATAGTCACATCTTGATGAAGTAGCCATCTCATGTACTTCTGTTGAAGTGTGAGTAACAGAATCGCCTCTTGCTGTTCCATCGTTTGCAGCTGCATCCTTATTTGATCCCGATGAAGTAGGCATTTCAGGTACTTCTGTTGAAGTGTAAGTACCAGAAGCGCCTCCTGCTGTTCCATCGTTTGCAGCTGCATTGTTCTTTGCCTCCCCTCCATTGATCTCCCTTGATCTTCTCTTCAAGAAAATATGGGACAGCATAGCAGCAAAAGCAGTGGCAGCAAGAGATGGAAAAAGTTTGGAAGCCATGATCACTAGTGTAAGTGTGAGTACAAGAAATACAAATGGAGATCTCTGTGGGTCATTAAACGTAGACGACAGGATTGGCTAAATATGTAGAGAGTCGAGGGCCAGTTTGCTAGAATTGGTCAGTACGAATGATTCATTACAGCCTGTCACAGTTGACAAATGCTGGTGTTTTAACACCAAAGTGGCCCGTCCGAACTCAATTCTTCTCTTTTATCTCCACCGTCACAACGCAATTGAAAAAAGAAAAATAACAATTGCGTCTGGTCATATGAGCTGTTGTTCATGTAGCCGGATCGCGGAGATTTTCTTCGACGTTTTTGGCTCCCCACACACGCACACACCCACCACAAATGGCAAAACCACGCCATTTTCTGGAATCTGTTGTTCATAAATTGGATGTCTATTTTGCCGCTGCCAATTTACTCCAATGCCCTCATGGCAGGAAGCTAATTTTCTTTTTTTAATGGTAAGTCGGTTGATCATGTAATTTATGGCATAAATTTTGATTGATGACACGTTATATAACCGTAGTTTATAGAATAAGATAAGGCTCATCAACGGTTTCCTTGATGCTTCCTTTGCCTTTTTCGAGTACCCCTTTTACGACCTATCAAAACATTGGGATAGGTCCACATTAACATCGTCAGGTATTTCTTAAAATGATGGGCCGCAGCCCTTGTCGGTGGTTCTGTGCTGGTAATTTACTTACTGCATTGGTAAAAATTTCAAAGGAATTGGTAATTCATTAGAATGCTGGTAAATTATTGATAGTGATAGTAATTTACTTACTACATTGGTAATTTCATTGCTAATGATTAAAAAAAGACTTGATTCCAGTCGAATATCAAGTATGAAAGCATATTTGTTAACTGGTCGGGTTTTGGGGGTTTCCCTGTTCCATGTATTTAACTAGTACGGGGTAGATTCACTTATTACAATTACATAAAACCAATTTTTTCAACTTGTTTTTCAGGGCAAAAAAAAAAACACTAGAAAATGGCTCACTTTCTTTAAAATTGAATTTCCTTAAAACATTTTCAGCGACAAGAATTTTTCAATGAAATAAATTAATTTCAGTGTGCATCTCTCACTCTCTCTCTCTCACTAGCCGATTGTGTTGAGCCCCATGATTTTTTTTATGCTCCCATCCATTTTTGGCCGTGGACAAGATATATGGATTTATTTTATTGATTTATTTAATCTCTATTGTTGGTTCTACGGATATGTTAATTTAGTAATTCATTAAAATGTTGGTAAATTCTTGATAATGCTGGTAAAATTTGAGAGAGTTGGTAATTTAATACTTCCATGTAATCTTTGTAAATTCTTGATCGTGTTGTTAATTTACTCACCACCCTTGTGGAATTTTGTAGGAGTTGATAATTTACTACTTTATTGGTATATTGGTTAATTTCTAATGATTCTGGTAATTTATTTACAGCACCGATAAAATTTCAAATGAGTTAATTTACTACTTCACCGGAATGTTGGTAAAATTTTGATAATCTTGGTAATTTACTTATCACACTTATAAAATTTCATAAGAATTGGTAATTTAAGAATATTTTGTGATTTAGCAACCAGAAGGTTTCAAGCTTGAAATACACACAGGAGCTAGCGCTCAAGATCAGGATGAAGTACAAGAAGCCAAGGTAGTCTCAAATCTCAAGGAGCGAACGTGCTAAGGAGCTCATAGACTTTGATTAAAAAAACATTGGCTCCTTACGGATCTCAATTATGAAAGTGCTCCATTTCAGATGATGTCTTTGGAGGTGTGGCTATTTACTCTCTCGGCTAATGCTTGCAGATAAGTCATTACAAAAAATTAAAAAGGCAAAAAAGAAGAATTTGCGAATAGCACGAGACTTGTCTTTTGTAAACTTTGAGGATAAAAACACTAGAAGTATCATAATTATTGTACGGTACTTACTTGGGTGTTATAACTTTTTTTTTCGTGAATGCTTTCGATAATTTTTTTTTTTGATAATCTAATCGTGGTGGTTGAGAATCCGCTCTTTCTAGGGAACAATGGATACAACATCAGCTTCCTATAGAATAATCTATCAAAATTAGGACAGGCACATGTCAACATTGTCAGACATCTCAGATAAAAATGTCTCCATTTAATGATTCTTAAAATTGTAATAGCACTAGGCTCCGAGCTCATAAAATTCGATTAAGGAAAAAAAGATGACTCCCTCATATCTAAGCACAAAAATTGGCTCTTTTCTATGTTGGTCTTGGAGTTGTGGCCCTCCACTTTCCAATAGATTGACAGTCTCAAAGTCTTTGCCAAGGACTTGCAGACATTGTGATACCTAGTCTATAGATATTCCGAGTTCAGAATAAACTTCAATATACTTCTATTCATTTGATGTGTTAAAATAAAAATAAAGTGCCAATATTCTAGTCATTATTTAAAGTTTAGCTCGACATTCAAATTGCATTTGAATAAGTGTATTTGCTAAAGTACTTTGAATTTAGCCTCCATGACTCTGTCATTGTGATTTGAACACCTTACGTGATTCGATGATCCCTTTGTTAGAATTGGTCATTTAGAATGATTCATTGCACATTGCTCCAGCCTGTCATCGTTGACATTGCTCGTTTTTTGAACAAAAACTGAGAAAAGATTCAAACGAAATGCATCGAATTTTAATGAAGCAAGGCACACCGCATATAATGCTTAGTCAACCTGTTCATCATGCTTTGAAGGTCCCAGAGATTAATAAGTTTAGAAGTCAGAATTACAAGTCGAGATCTCTGCAAGTAATAATACTTAAAAGCCAGAATTGGCTAAATATGCAGAGAGCCATATGCCAGTTTGCGAGAATCGGTCAATATGAATGATTCATTGCAGCGTCATTGCAACGTTTCAAAGTTGACAATGCACGTTAGTTAACATCCAATGCATAAAATAAGGTCCACCAACGGTTTCCTAGATGCTTTCATTTATAGTTTCTTTTGCCAGCTTAAGACCTATCAAAATATTAGAACAGGCCCACAGCAACATCATCAGGCATTTTCTTAAAATGATGTCCATATCGCACAAAGTCAACTCTTTAAAAATAGTATTAGCATAAGGTTCGGAGCTCATAGACTTTGATAATTAAAAAAAATATTGATACCTTGCGGATCTCAAATACGAAAAGTTCTCTGTTTCAGATGATGCTTTCGGAGGAGTGGCTCTTCACCCTCTCAGCTAATGCTTGCAGATTATTTATTATAATAGAAAGAAAAACAGGCAAAAAGAAAAGAACTTGCAAACAATGCGGGACTAGCCTATGGTCAATCTTCAGACTTGGATGAAAATTTGCCATGCTTGCATTCATCTCAAATTAAATGGATTGGGCCACTATTTCAGATTTAGCTCGACATTAGATAACGTTAGACCAAGTCCATTTGCAGCTGGAAACATCCTGAATTCAATTAAGAATTGGTATAGCTTCTCTTCAACTCCCATGAATCCAATTAACAACCGTGGCTTGCCGCAAAAACAATCTGGACATACATTTAGATAAAATTTAAACAACAATTAGCAAAATCCTACAAAAGCTGATTGTAGATGACTTTTGCGAGAGTTATTTTTCCAACACAATCATACTCATGATTTCGTTCATGTGATTGTCAACTCCGACCAAGCATTTTGATACTATCAAACGAACATTTTCAACTAACTGAAAGCCGGCTTGGCCACCTTTCTCCAAAACTCTCCTTCGTTACTGATATTTATTGGAGGTAGCAGTTGAAGGAATTAGAAGATCACATCGAACCAAAGTATGCTCCGGAAAAAACCCATTCAAAATGCCGCAATAAACTATTGTGAATTGATTCTTTGAAAAATTCTAATTAATTTATGGATGGATTAATTGTGTCAAACGTGAGTGAAACGACTTGAATTGAATGATGTTTATAGATGGATTCTTTCAGGTTTTATAATCTATAGATGGATTTATTTTGTCAAATATTATTGAAAACGACTTGAATTGAATGACGTTGTTTATAGATGGATTCTTATGGAGTACAAGACCCTATTAATTCAAACAATTGCTCTGATTTGTTCACATTTTGGGGATGAAAGGATGCATTTGCTTTTTCCTACGACCTTCTCTCGCAGGCCGCACCACAGAAACATCTTTGTAAATTGCCTCAAGTTCTAATAGGACATGAAGCATAGATCTAGAATATACATCACCAATGAGCTAATTAACAGGACATTGTCTAACGTTCTGTTTTTCAAAAAGGAACAATATTCCGTTCATATTAAACTTGCAACACAATTCGTATATTTTAAATTACGATAATAAAAACGTGCACTCTGTTATACTACCGATCATATACATTGATGTAATTTGCCACAATAATAGCAATTTACGACCATCAATGAAGTAGTACCTTACCAACTAGGTTTTATGCTTACTACTCAAAGCTAAATCTAGCAGTCATATGATAAAATCATTATTTCAATGGTAGTGTATTAGCAGCCTACCGGATTAATCATTATTTCAATGGTAATGTAGTAGGAACTTAATGTGCTAGTGAAATAATAAGGCTGGATTCTTCCATGAGGCCAATCCCCGATTCCAAGATGCTTCCCTTGATTTCCTTTGCTAATCCTAATCGCGGCGGCGGTTGAGAGCCCCCATATAATCTATCAAAATATCAGGACAGTCCTAGATCAACATCGTTAGCCATCTCTTCCAAACGATTGTTTGAAAGAAAAGCATTGGGACAAGGCTCTAAGGTTGGAGAGAGAGAGGTTGGATTTGGACAAAGATGGTCTGAGAAAAACGGCACTTGCTGCGAGGGGCAATTTTTCGACGTCTCGTCCCCGTATTCTCTCCTCTTGCATTTAAGACGGGCCTGTCGTGTTGGGGTATCTAAAAAGCCCTTATGAGTCTGCAACGTGCGAGAATGGCTGGACATCGCTCGAACAAAATCCAACAAGCCTATGGAAATCCAAGGAATGTGGAGAGACGATTTATATTTGAAATAGCATC